ACTGCAGTACCGCTCCCGCTGCTCCGATTCTCCGACCCATCTCACGCTCCATTGTTCCCTCACTCGAGAACAAGACCCCGAGATACTTGAACTCCTTCACTTGGGGTAAGGACTCATTCCCTACTTGGAGTGGACAGTCCATCGGTTTCCTGCTGAGAACCATGGCCTCAGATTTGGAGGTGCTGATCCTCATCCCAGACGCTTCACACTCGGTTGTGAACCGATCGAGTGAGTGATGGGTCGCAGACCGATGAAGCCATTAGAACCACATCATCTGCAAAAAGCAGTGGTGCAATCCTTAGTCCACAGAACTGCAGACCCCCTCCCCCACGACTACGCCTCGAAATCCGATCCATGTATATTACAAACAGGATTGGTGACAAAGCCAAGAGGACCCGGACACAGCTCTCGCTTTGGGAGTACAGAGATTGGATGGCCCTGAGTAGAGACCCCCTCACCCCATACTCCTGCAGAACCTCCCACAGTAACTCCCTCGGAACTCGGTCATACGCCTTCTCCAAGTCTACAAAACACATGTAGACCGGATAAGCGTACTCCCAGGCCCCCTCCAGGATCCTTGCGATGATGGTGGCCATGTTTAATGGGCCGTCATCCTCAAAATAAAAAAGTAATATGTTTAATCTTACTTCAAGTGCTATTTATCAATCTACATTGTTTTGGTGTGAATTGCAAGCGTTGGAGATATTTGCTGTAGAGATGTCTGCCTTCTCTCCAGTATAATGGCATATGGTGGTCAAAAGCTCCAAAAAAATACATTAAAAAAAAACTCAAAAGCAACTACTTTCTTTTGACCAAACTACACTTGGCCTCCATATCACTTCCCCCAAGGGAGCGTGCATCTTCAATTCGGCAAAGATTGTTCCTAATTTAATCTGCAACTCACAACAAAGTCAGTGGACTATTTGATGGGCATTATTTTTTCTTGGTTAATTGTGAGACATTACACTATGGGCTTATCTCTACAATCGGCAACTCACCCCAAAACAATCTAGATTGATAAATAGCACTTCAGGTAAAAGGAGAAATAAATCAATACTGACATGATAAATCAAGCCAGTTCTTCTCTTTTCCAACAGTTGCCTCCCACTTCCTTCCTGTCGAATACACACCTCACATTTATCTGCATTACCTTAGCCAGCTGATCCTCCATCAGTCCCTTTGCAGACTTGATCTCGTGGACGTTGAGCTGAAATGTTTCTGTGGTGGCCTGGAACTGCTTCTGCATGTCGGCCAGCGTCTGCTCCAGGAGAGACTCCACCATGGCCCTCAGGGACAGAGAGTTGACCTGCTGCTGCTCTGCTTTGGCCATGTTGATGTCCGAGATGTTCTCCCACTGCTCTGGAGTCACTGTGAAGCTGAGAGAGGAGGGAGTTTAAAACAACTTATACACAGCTGAAGCTAACAAAATGTCTTCTTGTTCTGTGCTGTAATGTAATTAATTGAAATCATGAATTTCAAAATAGCTTAGAAACTGCCTTTACACAGATGTTATATTGCTTTCCTGGCTTTATGGTTTACCTCTGCAGAAGAGTTTGGGTGTCTTTGGGCCTCTGCTGGTTGTTGGTGGAGTGAGCGGTCATTAAGGCACACGAGTTGTCGATGCACTGAGCTGCAAACTTCTCCTTCAGATCCTGCTCCAGATGGTACTTAATGGATCGATTCAATCTGGAACATGAAGCAACATGTTCTGTGTTTATTTTCCGTGCCACATATCTTGTGATTCGATTTTCTTATCAGTTTTATAGACAATTTACGTTAGAAAGGTAAGGTGTCCTGTATAGATCATACAGAGTTCTTCCTCCCTACCGTATCTGCTCAGTGATCTGCTCGGCTACACGGTGCAGAAGGGAAGCCACTCCCTCGATCACCCCCCTCTCCCTCAGCAGCTCTCTGTCCACCTCATCATGGAGCCTCTCAGGAGGAACACGTTTCATTCTGAAAACCAGGGAACAGCAAAAAACAATTATCACATACTCATCCTTACTGATATTGTTTTTTTTAACATGTAAACTTCATAGTTAGAGAAAGTAGTGTAAAAGTTAGAACTTCATGATACCGAAAACTAGCAATAGCTCCCAATCCCAATACATATTGTGCATGTTTCTCCTGATGGTTCAAGCCTCACCTCCAGAGGTTAGAGAAGTATATTATAATTATGTTAAGTAGAAGTACCAGAGTGTAGGAATACTCTGTTACAAGTAAAAGTCCTGAATTGTAAATGTTAATCAAGTAAAAGTGCAAAAGTATTTGCATCTAAATATAGTTAAAGTACCGAAAGTAAAAGTGCTCATTATGCAGATTGACCCATTTCAGAATAATATATATGATATGTTTTATAATGATTGATCATGAGAGTGTTCTCAAAGCTGGTCAAGGTGCAGCTACTTTGAATGACTTTGTATACTGCAGGGTAGCTTGTGGATTTACTCCAGGTGGAACTAAAGTCTGATTTAAGTGTTGAATATAAATCAAATCATGAATCAATATTTCAAAAGTAACTAAAGTTATTTAAAAAAATGTGTGGAGTAAAAGTAAACCATTAACCTCTGAATTGTAGTGGGGTAGAAGTACAAAGTAGCCAAAATGTAAATGTTACTTAAGTACAGTTCTTGAGTAGATGTACTTTACTTCACACCACTGCTCACCTCTCCTCCAGACAGACCACGGTGACCCTCAGAGGCTCTCTGCAGGCCCCCAGGGCTTTCCCCACTCTCCTCTGCAACTCTATGAGGACATTGATCTCCAGGATAATCTCCTCCAGCTTCAGCTCCAACTCCTTCTTCAGAAACTGGATGTCTCTGACCCGCTGATCTGAACAGCAGGGGGGGCGGAGGGGGGGGGGGGGAAAGAAAAACAGTTCAGCTCTGTGGTCTTTACAACATTATGTGTTAGAGCTAAACACAGTGTTTATTTGTCTTCCTACTGTACTTACCTAGTTGCTTGTTGTCATCATTTTGCATGCGTTTGCATGCTTTGTCAGTATCCTGGATGAGCCTCTTGCATTCTGCTCTGAAGAGCACAGAGTGGTTCCGCATCACCTCGATATTCTCAAGATCAGGCCCAACACACTGCTCGATGCTACGGTCCGAGATAGACATTATGCTCCTCTGGTAGGTCACTAAAAACATATATGAAGAAATGATTGGAAATGTGGCTGCCTTATGTTGAAAGATTAAGGAAAGCACTTCTAAAGTAAAGGGAAATTAAGACATAAACACATCCAGTGCAAATGTATTGAATCCTACCTTAGTTGGTTGATATGAGATGGCACTAGAAACCAAAATCTCTTTATGTTCAGGGATCAAGTTTCAATTATTATCATTGATACAAAATGATAACACATTGTTTAATTGATCATTTTTGTTTACATTTTCTTCAGGAAGAAGCAGCAACGTATGGGTATTTAATTTATCAGGACAGATATTATGGCAATCTTTTGCCATAGAACATTTGACGTTTGCCTAAATACGACCTGCCACTGTAAGAGTATATTCTACATTGTATAACAACTCTTGTTTGAAAATTAATAGAAATATTTTAAAGGAAAAAAAGAACATCAAGTAAGCATTGTCGATCAACTTTGAGTATGTTTGAGTACTAAGCATCATTAATATAGACACAGAGTCCAGCTCCCCTCTCTGGTGTATACTTTGTATCCTATTTAAGAATTTTGATATAGTTGTTATATGGGCCATTCTACCGAATTGGTTCAAAGTCAGGTTGGATATATTTTTGAAATGTTGTATGTTTTATCCCCAAAACTTTGTCCGTCAATTGTACCATATCTAAAGTACACATATTTAGTAAAAATAACCGTCATTGTATTTTCAGACAGTGTTGGAATGTTTTTTCTCTCCCAAAAATGGTCACTACAGAAACATAGAAATACAGTACAGTAAAAAAGTATTAGAATAACCTGTTAAGGTTGTGTTTCCTTCCCTTCTCTAAAAAGTATTTTTACAAATATTTCTTGAAGGTTTTCACAATTAAATCAATACAAAAAACGTTTAAACCAAATGTTAAAGTTCATTTTATACAATTCATCACAATCAAAATGCAATATTTCTTTGTAAAAGGCATAATATGGATCATATTGATTCGAGAGTTGATGATTGATGAAATTGAACATACATTAAACCATGACAAACGTTATGTTGTATAGCCCAGACAATTGTTTGTAGATAGCTAACATTTTAAACCGTTACATGTTTTGTTTACGTTAGCAAGCCCCAAATAACGTGGTTTTTACTATTTTAACTTATCTTGGTGTCAAACGGACATGAGAAACGTGTTTTTTTCTCACTAGCCTTATAAAAATACTTTTTAAAAAGTCATGTAATACCATACCTTGTTACTTGCAGTTGAAAAACACCCGGATAAAAGTGTAAGTGTGGATACCGTCTATTGTTTCGACGACCGAACTGCCTCTCAAATGTAATGTACAAAACAAATGGTTACTGTGGCAACGGAGAACACGTCATGGCGGAAACGGTAAATTTTCCAGAATAACTTTACATTAATAATAAGAAAATAAATATATTAACTGTTTTACACAATTCGTTTTTGAAAGTATTGCAAAACATCTCTAAATTGTATTCTTTTTATTTGATCAAAACCCATCTAGAAATGGATTGAATATAATCATGTTGAGAAACGTTAGAAAAAACAATGGATTGTTACTGCCCTATGGAGAAATATAAAATAAAATGAAAGGCTATGCATTGGTGTTTCATGCAATAGAATAAAGGGCTGGATAGCTAAGATTTTGCAAATAAAAATGTAGTAATACATTAATACAGAATAACCTTGTAGAGAATACAATGCATTTTTTTGTATCATCTTTTTCTTTATGGTGAGTTAGTTCAAAGTGCGGTCCTACAACAAGAGAAAAACAAACAAAACAATTAAGTATTCATACATAGATACTAAGAGTATTTTATGGTCTATTTAAAAACACATTTAATTAGATAGTGGTAAGCTAACTATATACAAAATCAACATTTATAGGGTACTTTCTATTGGGAAGTAGCTGTCCCAAACCCTGACATCTAAATTTCAATTTCTGTAAATATAAATACCACTTAAAACATTTTTTGAAGATGTTTTTAATGATGTATTTCAAAGATCTTTATGATAAAGTTTAAACAGAAGTTGGAAGATTCACCCCTGCATTTTGGATCAGGCAGTGACACTTCTGTACCCAGTGGCGACTGGTCATTAGGGGCACAGCCCCACCTAGTGTCAGCAGAAAGTATTAAAAATAATGATTACAAAAAAATGCTAAAAAAAATATATATATATATATAAAATATATTTTAAGATCATGTTTAATCATCTGATTCGTCTGTACATTTCTGTTTTAGTCTGTGTTCTTCTAATTAGTGTCAGTGTGTGCCTATTGAGCTGTTTAGAGCCATGTGGGACAAAACCATAGACTGTATATATAAAGGACAAAACCCGATCATGCCCTCCCTCTCACTGTCTAAGTGAACGGTGACTGTAAAAACTACACTGCGCATGCTCAGAGTATTGTCCTATTTAATGTGTGTGGCAAAAACCAGCGCCATATAGATAGAAGAGTTACGACAGCGGAAGTCCAAAAACGGTTATCGTCACGTGGTTCATGCAGACGAGGATTGTTCCCCGGAAGTTCATGGCGGGCAATGTGAATGCATTGATAACAGGAGATAGAACTACGATTTTTGGTAATTATTAGTGAATAAAGGTTTTGATTTGCAATATTTATACAACAAATCGATATGTGTATGTATTTACATCAATATGTTTTAAAAAATAAAATAGAACAGGAACCAGGAGAAAGTTTATACGGAATAATCTGGAACCAGCTCTCTTTTCAGCGTTTGGACACTGATAAAAACAGGATGTTGGTTCCAGAGAAAGGAGCTTGGTAGTCTAACGCTCTGACTCCTGATCTGGTTTTGAGGACAGACTTGCACCATTGGATGCTTTAGAGCAGGGCTCTCCAACACGTCGATCACGGGCAGCTTTTCAGTAGCTCGCCGCTCGATTATAGCATAGTCAGGCTGCTTATGGATTTTTCGGCCGCGGCTGGACAATAACGTTTTTTAATTTAGAATTTTTTCTGTCACACGAATATCAAATTGGTCGGTGACGCAGAGATCAAGGAACAGACGTGATAGCGGCACAGCGACACCACACACGGAGCAGTCTGCTTTCTCCACCAACACCAGTCCAGGACCAACAGCAGAATGACCCGCTCTGAATCAGGCCCTGTCGCTGCGGCTCAGAGACACACAGGTGCCCCTTTCTCACCAACGCGTTTTCAGCTCCGGCTCGGAGCTGGAGCCTGAAAAGTAACGTTTTTTCCTGTTCACACCGCAGCGGCGCCGCCTCTTAGCTCCGAAATCCGGTTCACTTCCATCTCCAAAAAATTGTCGGTCTAGAGGCAAGAGCTTCGGAGCTAAGAGGAGGCGTGCAGGAAACTAAACCAACCTCCCCTGAACATGGGTCGACTGAAGAGTCTCGTCATGCCTGCCTACAAGCAGTAGTTTTGAGCAAAATGACTAGAAGGCAACCACACACTTATAAAAAGAACACTTATAAGGTCAGGCAACACTAACCAGGGCTTCGTGTGATTCTGTTTTAGTTTGCACCTTACTTTAGACATCCGCTTGCTGTATTGATCATTGTGGAGAGTAGCAGACTTTTTGTTCTTGTATTATACAGTTATCGGATGGAATCACATACCAATAAAACAAAAACGGGCTGCACAGGTTTTCCATGTCCGGACTATCACATAATGAAAAATACGCGGTAAAATGTGCCTGTAGAAAATCTTTATGCCACAATAGGATAGCACTAGCAAGTAGTCGGTTTCTCGAGGGCGGGACTGACTACTTTGCTCTTGCTATCCTATTGTGACATATGCCGTTTTCTACAGCACATTCGTATTTGCATATGTGATAGTCGGACATGACAACCTGTGCCAGTCCCATGTATTGATTCCACCATAACGCTATACAAACAAAAAGTCTGCCTACTCCTCCACAATGATCAATAACAGCAGCGGGATGGTCAAAGTAAAGGTGCAAAATAAACAGAATCACACGAAGCCCTGGTAGTGTTGCCTGACTTTATAAGCGTGTGTTTCTTTTTGATTTATAATGTGTGTGGTTGCCTTCTAGTCATTTGCTCAAAAACTAACTGGCTTGTGCGCAGCGCATGACGAGCACTCTTCAGTCGACCCATGTTCAGGGAGGTGGCCGCTTTAAGTTTCCTGCAACGCCTCGACGGTAAGCGACGCGCCTCTTAGCTCCGAAGCTCTTGCCTCTAGACGACAATTTTTTGAGATGAAGGTGACCGGCATTTCGGGAGCTAAGAGCGCGCGCCGCCCTGCGGTGTTGGAAACAGGAAAAAACGTTACTTTCCAGGCTCCAGCCTCCGAGCGGAGCTGATAACGCGTTGGTGAGAAGGGGCACCTGTGTGTCTCTGAGCGCAGCGACAGCGCGCCCTGATTCAGAGCCGCGCTCATTTCTGCTGTTGGTCCTGACTGGGCTGTTGGCTGGAGAAAGCGCGCGCGCGCGCTGAAGAACAGACTGCTCCGTGCTGCTAGTGGTGTCGCCTGTGCCCGCTATCACGTCTGTTCCTGATCTCTGCGCTCACCCGACCGATTTTCTGATATTCGCTGTGACAGAAACACATTCTAAATTAAAAAACGTTATTGTCCAGCCGCGCCCGAAAAATCCATAAGCAGCCTGACTATGCTATAATCGAGCGGCGCAGCCTACTGAAAAGCTGCCCGTGATCGAGCGTGTTGGAGAGCCCTGCCTCTAAAGCATCCAATGGCTGCAAAGTCTGTCCTCAAAACCAGATCAGGAGTCAGAGCGCTTGACCTACCAAGCTCCTTTCTCTGCGACCAACATCCTGTTTTATCAGGAGTGTCAAACGCTGAAAAGAAGAGCTGGTTCCAGATTATTCCGTTATAAACTTTCTCCTGGTTCCTGGCATGTTATGACGTATTTTATTTTCGGTTTTATTAGGCGCATCAGAGTAGGCTACTTTTTCCCAGTATAGTCCGATATCATTCTGAAAATGTGCGTTCACATCCGGAACTAGGAACTTTAGTTCATGAGAACCTTTACCCTTTTTCGGTCCCCTGCTAGAGAGCAGATACTTTCCGTGTGGAGAAAAAGGTTCCTATGTCTGATTGCACTGGGCGGATTGCAAAACCACGCCCCGTAAAAACTCCCAAAAAGTTTTTTTTATGTGACAGCAAATAAGAAAAGGAACTTCTGTGTATATGTTATTTCGCTAATATATTATGTATTACAAAGTCTTTGGTTTTGTCCACATGGGCTCTAGTAAAGCTCAATAGGCACACACTGTAGACACTTAATTAGAAGAACAAAGGGCTACAACAGCAACTGTACAGACGAAATCCCCGATGATCAAACATGATCCTTAAAATATATTTTATTATATTAATTTTTTGTAATAATTATTTTAGAACCTTTCTTCTGCACTAGTGGGAACTGTTGCCCTTAATGACCAGGTCGCCACTGGAGCCACCACTTGGAATTGTCGTTCTTTTTTAAGAGAAAATGGTCTTATGTCCACTCAAAACTCAGATCCGACTGGACAGTTTAAACATTGTCACGGGATCGGTACCTGTCAGCCAATAAGACCAAGTTTATGTCGATGCAACTCTCTGGTTTTTTGGTCTTGGTGTCTTGCCTCGTTGCATTCACTGAACACGGGAAATTACACTCCTGCCGTCTCTCCTAGTGCTTGATGAGTCAGGTAAAGCACGGTTAATGTACCTCTATATTATTGAGGGAGAATTGTCCGACTAACCATAAAAACGCATCACGGGCGTAGAGCTGAAGTAGAGCTGCTGGGAGTCCCAGGACTTCAGGTGGCAGTATACGTGAAGTGGTTTGCGGCCTGCCAGTAGAACTCAAAGAAAACGAAGAAGAAGAGAAGAAGAAAGAAGAAGAAGAACGGTCCTGCGTCCGCCCTTTCAATATCACTACAGTATGTGTAATAATACACAATATAAACATTCCTGTTCAATGAATTACTCTCTCAATGAGGACATATTTTAATAGCCAAACATAAATATATAAACATAGATGGGTTCTTTTGGTTGTTTCCTGTGGTTATTTGTCATTATTCAAAGCATAATGTTGAAGCCCTAAACCCTAAAACAATTTAGAAACAAATACTCTTATAGAAGTCTTGTAACTAAATAATGACAACATATATCTCTGTTATTTTTATCTGTCTATATGCCGATTTGCAGGCGCATCCGCTTTTTTAACGCTGATTTGGTGATCGGGTGTGAATTCGCGAGAACCGAAGAGTTTTCGTTATTGGGGGGGTCCTCGTCCGCCCCGCCCGTCCGCGTCCGCTCAGTCCGACTATACGACAACGTTTCACCTTCAAAGAAATGGAAG